ATACATTCTTTCTTCGACAAACATATTCTAATCGTTGGTGTCAACAAAATAATAGCCCCACTTAAGATTAAAGCGCAACCAGCAAAAAAGAAAGATGCATTATAATTCCCTGTCATGTCGTAAAGCCAGCCTAAGGATAAAAATACAAAAAAGTAAAGTTATTACATCCTGCTTTTACTAAAAAATATCACAAATGAGTGTTACTTTTAGTTGTGTTTGCTCTAAGCCTATTTACTGACTCCCACTTAAGAGGGTCAAAGCAACCGACATGCGTTCAGTAACATGAGTGTTTTGGGATAACCTTGGTTATCAACCAGGTCCGATTAGACTGCAAGTGAACAATTACTTTCCATTATGTAGGAATAAAATCGTGTAATAGATGTTTGTGCCACAATGGATTTTATGGAGTGTTAGTATTTGAACTACATTTCGGGGTGATATCTGTGACATTCAAAGACTGGAAGTGCCATCCGCGCTGAATTTGTTAGGAACAGGTTAGACATTACAGAGAGAAGAGGTAGATATCCTTATTTGGCGATAACCTACAATAATATGTATTTACATGCAAGCACCTTTGTACTGCAAATTTTCTCCCTTAGATGTTTCTTTCAGATGTGTCTGTGTTCTTGGATTAGTTTGATATGACATACTTGATCTCATTTTTCATAAATGATTTTCACTTCAACTATATTCAATATTCAGTAATGATTTGCACTTCATCTGTATTCATTATGTCAGTAAATTATTTAGTTGCAAGAATTTGCTCTTGTTTTGAATTTGACATATATTCACAGCGTCAAATATGTGATAATAACACCAATAAACCACGACAAATAAAGGATCTGCTTTCAAGAAAGTGGGTGTGGTAAAACTTACAATTATATCTGTACTGTATCGGTGTCAATTAAAGCGTGTCATAGTTTTGTGGTATTGCACAGGTTAACTGCTTCCTGCCATATTAATAAATGCAAGTGTGTCACATTTTCATTTACTTATTCTGTCAGCAGTTGTGGCATGGAAGTTGCGTTTACACGTTACTTATATCTTATATGAACTCACCTGTAAATGGTGTTCCACACAGAAATCCGATGGACATGCCAAACCAATCCCATGCAATAGCCTTAGAATGGTTCGCTTCTCCGACAAAATCTCGAAGTGCAACAATCATAATAGGTTGGTATATACCAAACAAAAATCCATAAAAACAAATTAACACTGCTATTATAACATATAGTTTAGTAAACGGGATGCACAGGATGATGAAACCACTACCTCCAATCGTAATCCCTGTCAGTGTAAGGGGAGCTATATAACCATGGTCAACAAGCCAACCAGGAGCCAAACGTCCAACTATATTCCCACAGCCAAATAATGTCAACAAAAACGCTGAATTTGCTTTCGAAATGCCAATTGTCACTGCGTTGGAAACTACATACAAAATGGCAGTTATAGAGCCTACTCCTTCAAGAAATTGAGCAAAAACCAATAAAGAAAATGACGGTATTTCAATAAACAGCCCCATTCCCAAATAATTCAAAATGCGATGAGTTTGACTTGGGCTTGAGTTTGCAGTTCCGTTTTCGTCCCTTATTTCTTGATAGTCGTTTATCTTTCTATCTTGCGTCACTGGTTTTTCTTCATTAAAGTCGCTACATGTTATTTCGTTTCTATTGACAACATGAAGACGTAAGTCTTGGTTTTCACTGTTTTGGTAAACAATCAAAGCCAGTTCAGCTTCTCCATTGTCTAACTGTTTATCATGCATTTTTATTTCTTCTATTGGTCTTCTCGTTTTTAATGGTCTCAACAAAGCACCAAAGACTATTATCTGCGCATGGATTCCAGCTACGATAAACAACGCTCCTCTCCAGCCATATTGTTCAATAATATAATTGTACAATGGGGGAAGACACATTGTTCCAGCGGCAGAACCAACAAACGCAATTCCATTGGCGAAAGCATATCTCCTTTTGAAGTAAAGACTAATAGTAATTAACACAGTAATCACAGACACGCCGTATCCTATTCCTGAAAATGAAGGAAGAACATATTATCGTTATAGGTATCAGACTAAACAATATATATTTATGCAATCATTGTCATTTCATTGTCTAAATCGTGCGATTGTAAAAATATGAAAAATGTTCACATCATATGCAAACTTCAATATTTTTTATTTTTATATTTATTTTTATGTTTATATTTTTTTTAAAGGTCAATTTTTAGTCTTGATATGCACGCAAAATATAACATGAGTAAATGTGTTCAAACATACCAACTATAATGCCGTAACTAAAGTAGAGAAACGTTAATGACGGCGAAAAGATGGATAAAACAATCCCAAATGTTGATAGAAATCCACCAATCATAACAGTCAATCTGGCACCAAGTTTTCTGTGTAGATAATCTGCTAAGAGACCTGGTAACGAAGTAATATTTAACATAAATTATTGTGTGTTGTCACAGAGCTCACACCTGAAGAAAAAAGATAGAAATTTGAGGTAATTCTTTTGCATGAATTAAACTAATATACATTAGATGCAAATGAATTCTTCTAAGGTCTCGTTGAGTGCAAGAACATTCCATTGTTTCATCTAAAAAAAATAATGTATTGTCTGTTTGGTCATCATTCACATATTTGCCACCACAATAATACAATTGCCAACTATTGTTTAATTATGCATAGCACATGATTTCTTTTGTTGTATGCTACAGTTGCCCATCCTTAGTATCTTTATACCGAAAGAATGGAGTGGACGTTGTCTCATGAAACTTTAACAAAATGAGTTCAAATAATATTTTTTTACCTGAGCTGGTGTAAAGGGCGCCTGTGATGGACGCTATAATCGATGCCTGGGCAGCACCTTTTTGGAAATACTCGACATAAGACACAAGAAATATCCCACTGACATTAAAGCTTCCTGCGCATATAGACTGAACGCCTACACTAGCTAATAGTATTATCCAACCATAACCACCATCTGGGGGTTCTACATTGGTGTGTGCCATTTTATTTCCAATCCTGAAAAATTAAGAAAATAGAAGATTTGAAATTGCTGATATATATCTACTATCAAGCTTTATCATTGTACTTTATGAAAACTCTCCTCGCCATATGAATATTGGCATAATATTGTATTCAAACCAAATAGTAGTTTTGCATAACAGAAAACATTAGTCAATCGCACCTAATGAAAAAGTTATACATAACGTTTTTCATTTTTTTTCTGTAAATGCTATCAGGACAGTATATACACAGATTCGGAAATCAAAGACATACGAGAACACGTGTGGATTGGCTTTGTAACATTATTATTGCATGAAAAAGGGAATATGTTGTCCATGTTGTCCTCTCTTCAAGGTCATTGAAATTTTCCAAATGGTTCTACAATATGAAACGCTAACATTTAGTTAGCGATAGTTTGTTATGTAATCAAACCATAAACAGCCATTGCAATAATGTGAGGAAACGATGCATTATAATAACGACGTGCGAAACAACTGAACATTAAGTGAGCATCGTTAGTGGTAAACAGTCAAATATATTGGTTCACAATTGTATACAAGAATTTCTGCCGCATAATCAGTTACAAACAAAACACTTGTTACATTTTTAGGAAATATATGTATTTTCGATATACTGAAAAAGTTACCGACGGGGACTGAATAAGTACTTGTAATAGTTTGAT